TGCCAACAACGATTGCAATGCCCGTGGCACTCACAAAATATACTGAGGAAAATACCAAATTCACCTCCAGGTATAGCGTGGATTTCGATAAGGACCCACTGTCACAGGCCAAACAATCATGGTTATTTGTCGAGTTCTGTAACCATCCTTATGCCAAACGGCTAGTCACACTCTGGGGGTGCGTATTGTAGTTTTGTATGCAGGCAAGTCAAACCTGGGTTGATCTCGGCCTGAGGACTGGGGGCATACGTCAACAACCACACTACACAGGCACTGAGTGCTGACACCAAATGCCGCCTTGTCGCCTCGCAATCGTTTCACCTTCTATTGGATCACAACGAAGCACTAACCACAGAGATAGAGCAGAAGATACGCAGAGAAGGAGCGAGAAGAGACAGAGAGAGTAAAGGTAATTACATGAGTATGCTTGTGGCTGTACCTGCAGAGCACGATAGGTTATCTCTCTTACAAGTAGCTGCTGGGGACGAGGGTTCATGAGTGGATCAACACACTCCATTCCCTACTTTTCACACTCCCTCTGACCTGTTATGCCAATAACAAACAAGAATAAAGCCAACCTCAAGCACAAGAATTACAAATCGCATTGATCTTTCTCGCACTTATGAGTCGACCCCGAACACATTACTCCTGAAGTGAATCCGTCTACAACCGATCTCGCTCGTAGGTGAGCCGGAGTACTTTGTATCCCTTTCTGAGTTTCTACGCTCAGTTTTTGTTCGTTTTCGCCCGTCCTACGGCCAACCTGTAATATACCTGTGTACAGTATAATTTAGTGAACTGTTATTTCGCACCTGGTACGAGATAGATAGGAGGGGCATGGAAAAGGACCTAATGGGCTGAATAGAAAGAGGAAGGGGGGGGGGGGGGGAAAAAAAAAAAGAAAACGAAGGGCAAATTGTAAGACAAAATGTCTCCTCCGGGTTGCATTACCAAGAAGAATAGATATAGTATATGCGAAGACAACAATGACGGACAGAGTAGGGCACGAGGGCCGGAAAGACTGGGGGCGAGGCCGGACAAGATTAACTTCAATGACAATCCAGACTGATGGGCGGGTCGGAGGATATAGGGATCGGACGGTGGGTGGGAGGAGGGGCGACGTGGGTTCATGAGCGGGGAACTAGGGGTTGGGAAAAGCGGAAGGAAATGGTCAACAATGTGAATATGTGGGGAATGGTGGGGGCAGTGAATCGTCGGGGAAAAGGGGGGGAGAAAAAGTGCGAAAAGTCAAAAAGAGATGGATGGACCTAGAAAACCGTGCAAATCAAAAAGAGAAAGGAAAAGAGAGAAAAGAGCTCGGTTGTTCGGAGAGGAGACGATGTGAGGAAACCGTACGTCGGATGAAGGAAGGGGCGAATGGAAGATGTGAGGGAAAACCTTCTCAGAAAAAAAGGGCGCGAAAATAAGGCAGGTGGGTAAGGGTTCTGACAAGGGGGGAGAGGGGGAAGGACAGACAAATAAAGGGGAGATTGTGCGGGGGGTGGGGGGCGGGAAAAAAAAGGGAAGGGGGAGGGCAGAAAGGAAAAGAGAAGAAGGGGAAAAGGGAGGCTGTATAAAAAAAAAGAATATACTCAGAAAAGACGGAAAAAAGGGGAAAAAACATATACCATACGTTACTCGGAAGGGGAAAAAGGGGCAAAAGAGACTGAGGGAGGAAAGAAAAGAGGTAACGATAACAGGATGCAACGAGAAAGAAGGTAAGGAAGGAAAGGTGGTAGGCTGAGACAGCAAAAAAAAAGGGGGAAAAAAAGGGCGGGAAGAAAGAAGAGATTAGGGGAAAATCTTCGGGGGGGGGGAGACAATGTGGAAGTTCGCTGATCGAGGAAAAAGAGGGGAGGGGGAAAAAAAAAAGGGAAAGAGGATGGAAAGTGAAGTGGGTTAGGAGGAGGATGGGGGTGATCAAACAGTCAGGAAAAAAGGCAAATGAAAAAGGTTAGCCGGGAAAGCGAATGGTACGGATGTGAATACAAAAAGGCAAAAAGACCATGGCCGACGTTACCTCGAAAAAAAAAAGCGGGCGAAAAAGAAGGAAGAAAAGAAAGAGTATAGAAAGAAAAAGTTTCATCAGAAGAAAAAAGAGGGATTGAGGAAGAAGGGAGGGAGGGGAAAGGATTCATCGGGAAGAGAGGTATAGGGGTAAGAAAGTACTACGAACATGGGGTGAAAGAATGGGTGAAAGGGTGAATAAAAAATGGGGAAAAAACAGAAGGGGGGGAGAAAGAGAAAAGGGGAGGGGAGGGGGGGTCTCCTCGGAGGAAGAAAAAAACAAAAAAAAAACAAAATCTCTTATAAATACGTCACACTGTACACATTGCACATGTGCCAACACATCATGTGTGGTGCCATTCTTTGTGTTTAAAGTGCAGTGATCCATATCCATTTTGCTTGGAGTAGTGTGGGCCGATTTCCCTACATTTTAAACCTGAACTTGTCTACTGTAGCCAGTCCCTTAGAACTCATTGGGGTCTGAATTACTTATGATATTCGGTGTGTAATGTCTTTCTTGCGTTTTTCCACTAATACCTATATGCATTGTAGTTTCATAACGTAAAAGCTAACTTGAGTGACATTGAGCCCTAAACAGTGTTATATTTGCAGGTCTTAGTGCTCTAGAATTTCTTTTACTCTTATACATCTGGTGCACAAACCCACCACCGTCTTCTCTTCACGCAGTGCCCGACCCAGATTGCATACACTGGACACCTACGTTTCCTCTCTCGAGAACTGCCGGAGGGCGAGGAGCAACTGGCCGGAACCCTGGAGATCTGCTTCGGGGGAAAATGGGGAACCATCTGCGACGACTTCTGGGACAACAATGACGCCACCGTCGCCTGTAGACAACTCGGGTTTTATGATCAAGGTATATGCACATGTACTCCAGTCTTTCATCACACACCTTTCTGCTATATAGGTACGTGTACTGTACCGTTATAGTACAAACTAGTTTGGGGGTTGCTTTAGGTATATATGTGTCAAAGCAAACAAGTCAACTACATCCAGGACAACTCTTTTTTTTCAAGAGCTTCTCTGGGTGGGATTCGAACCCACCACACTACTGTCTAGGCTAGCGCTCTGCAATAAGTACTTTTTCCCCTCATCTCCTCTGCTTTATATAGTAGCAGTATTGAGTGTTGCTTCTCAATCTTCTTCCAGGAGCCAGAGCTGTTCCAAGAGCCAGATACGGCCAGGGTACCGGCCCCATCTTCCTGGACGACACTCAGTGCCGTGGCAGCGAGACCAGGATCGTAGACTGTCGTAGCGACGGGATTGCCGTCCATAACTGTGGCCACAGCGAGGATGCGGGGGCCATCTGCAAACGTGAGGAACCAACCCTAATTCAGTTTCTGTGTTGTTCATAGTGATTTGTTACATAATTCGCCTTTCCTTTATTATTTCGTACGGTACTTCATATTTTTGTGTCCACCCCCTCCTCTCCTTTCCTCTTTTATCCTCTCTCCCTTCGTCCTTCTCCTTCCCTCTCCCGTACTTCCCTCCCTCTTCTTCCCACAGCTATTCCCTGCACCAACGGAACACTGAGACTCAGCGATGGATTCAATCCCAGCAACGGTCGTCTGGAGATATGTGTGAACGAAGTCTGGGCCACAGTCTGTGGTACTGGATTCACTGACGAAATGGCTGCTGCTGCCTGTACTGGCATGGGACTCCCCTCTGATGGTGAGCCTTGGGGCCAGCACATTACAATGTATGTGTGTATCAAAGCCACCGACAGGACAATAAATGCTGTACTATTGGCAGTTTGAGCGTCTTAAACTTGTAGACTTACAAGCCTGTCTTATTAGCTGATTCACGGCGCGGTCAATAGTTCCCGGTATACTTGCACTGTGCCTTATAGAATGCTGGAGTTCGTATCAACCTCAGTACAAAGGAGTTACAGAGAAACACACACATACCCTCTCTCTTGTTTAGGGGCGTTCCGATCTGCTGAGGAGTTGTTTGCCAGTCCCCCCAGTTCCCGTCCAATCTTCAGCGCGGCTCTCTGTGGACCGGACAAAAACTGCACCTTCTCTGTCGCGACACCTTCCTCTTCGTGTACCCACGAGAACGACATTGGAGTGTTCTGTCCGGCGGCCGAGGGGACTCCAACTCTCTGTGCCACCGGAGACATTAGACTGGCCGGTGGCAGTCCAGCCACGTGAGGGACGAGTTGAGATATGTATCAACAACCAGTGGGGGACCATCTGTGACGACTCGTGGGACGAACGTGGTGTCAATCTAGTGTGCAGCGCTCTCTACAACGAACAAAGTGAGTTCGTAACCCTTACTCAATCATCCCTGCCAGTGCTAACACGCTTATAGTAACTCATACTCAATACAACCAATTTCATACATACATAAGTTATGCATTGAGTGATGAGTATGCTTGAATGCTTAGAAAGCGCACATTGTACTCCACCCATTGCTTGTTCCCTAATGTGTATACATTATACTGTGGTAAACTCTCAACGGGAGAATACCATTGGTTTCTTCAAGGATTGCTTGTCCAAAATTTTGCAGAAAGCTCTCATAAACCGCGAAACTCACCATCAAACTTTCCCCTAATCGGAATATCATCACCACTGCACTTTTAATTTTTACTATTGAGATAATCAGGCACAAGCACAAAGGCCCACGCAACCTTTGCACACTCACCAGCATAGCTCGATAGTTTACGGTTTGTCTTGTGTATATGTCTTTGCTAAAAATGGATGATGAAACACGACTATACAGTCGTTGGAGAGATGGTGGATCCAGAAGAGTTCAGTGGTGTAGAGGACCTCCCTATCCTGATGGACGACGTGAAGTGCAGAGGAATGGAGTCCAACCTTCTCTCATGTCCTCAACTGCAGCTGAATGCATCCCACGACTGCACGCACATGGAAGACGTCGCCATCTCCTGCACTGGTGAGCTGTCACTTACGCGTCACCTCGTTCACCTACCTCTCACACCTCTCTCCGCACTCACACTCCTCAATCGATCGTATCCTTCTCGCCTTCCCTTATGTGCACCCGTTCCCTTTTTCTTTACTTTCTACCTCGCCTCCCTCACCCTCACTCCCGCTCCCTCCCTCCTTCTCTCCTTTCATCCCGTGCCCTCTTTCACTTCAACTCCTTTTCTCTCGTCGCACTCACTTCTCCTTTCACTCCCACCTCTCAGTATACTTTACACATCCGTGACCACATCTCTCTGTGTTCACACGCAATACTCTCAGGGACACGGAGATGTCAAAACGGTGTGAAAATAGCACTGGCTGGTGGACCGTACGTATCGGAAGGGACCCTTCAGATATTGTCTCGATGTGTGTGGGAACGTGTGCGATGATCTGTGGGACCAACTGATGCTGGCCCGGTCGTCTGCGACGATCCGTGGATATACCAGGTCAGTCTTCAACACTCGTATCTTGACTAAGGAGCTCTATACTGATACACAACCACCAAAACTATGTGTGTGTGTCCCAGGATCAGCTATTGCCCTGCGAGGGAGCCCACTTTGGACAGGTACGGGACCAATCACCTGGACAAGTTCATCTGTACTGGCAGTGAGACCTCTCTACTGGACTGTCGCTCACTCTCTCTCACACGGTGGCCACTACGAGGATGCCGGAGTCATCTGACCCTGCCTCAAGGTCTTATACTGCAGTTTAACTGTAGGTCTGATAGGTAGTCGACTACTACTAAAGACTGAATCTCCGATACGGTAGTTGACCTACTAACTAAGACGGAATCTCGATACGGTAGTTGACTACTAACTAAAGACTGAATCTCCGATACGGTAGTTGACTACTAACTAAAAACTGAATTTCTTCCCTGCCGTTCAGTTCAGTTCCTGCATGTGTAGAAAGTGCTTCCTGCAGTATTTTATTCTCTCTTTCTGGACCCACAGAGCTGATGCAACTGTACAATGGAGATATCCGTCTGGCAGACGGAGATAACGAGTACAGGGTCGAGTTGAGGTGTGTCTCCATGGCAACTGGGGCACATGTGTGACGATGGATGGGACATAGGGATGCTGGTGTAGTCTGCAATCAGCTGGGCTATACTGGTGGATGTGGAAAAAGATAAATCACAGTCCTAGGAATGTGGCAGTATAATATATAAGGGCGTAACTTAGACTTTATATTCTCGCACTGGGCCATTCATATTTAGTAACATTCTCAATTTAGCCCTATGTACAACTTCCACATTCTCATTGATACCACTACAGTTGGTGTGTGGAACAGTAGCATTCACTGCTATTGAGATCACATTTTGTCATGGGCCTGAAGAAACACACCGTTTTGTCTGCAGCTTCCGTCTGCTGCTGTGTCTAATGCTCGGATTGGTCGCGGGAGAGGGAGTGGACTCATCTTCTGGACAAGTGACTGTGACGGACAGAACAAATCTCCCCAGTGTAGAGGGATGAACCTGGGACCCACCACTGTGACCTTCTGAGGATGCCGGTGTTTTCTGCCCTGGTGAGTGCGTGAGAAGAAAACAGTGAGCGCAAGTGGGGAGAGAGAGAGAGAGAGGGGAGAAGGAGGGAGAGCCCAAAGAAAGGAGGGAGGCGGGAGAAGCGGAGAAGGGAAAGAGAAGAGAAAGAAACATTGGTCTCGAGGTACGGGACTACTTGAAGGGGCGAGTAAGTGTGGAGGAGAAGAGGAATCCGGTGCGCTGAAGTACCACTGCCCACTATTTCGTTGTGACTCGCTGGTGCTAGACATAACTCTGAATGTGAGATGATTTACCCGCATCCGACACAGACACGGCCAACTGTAGTACGGAGACGTGCGACTGGCAGGACGGTACCTACGGAGTATGAGGGTGAGAGTGGAAGTGTGTATCGGAGGTGCCTGGAGGGTACTGTGTGTGGCGAGTCGCGTCATGGGTACGACAGAGAAGCATCGTGGTCTGGCAGACAACTGGGGCTCCCCAATAAGTGTGAGTATATTGAAACACGTAGTAAGACTGGTGGACTAATAGCTTAATGGGCTCCTCAACCAATGTAATGCTTCTGCTGTGCGCAACTAGTGACATCTGCCATCCATGGAGTCTCAGGTCACCATAGAGGACTATTACCCTCCCAGTGCTGTTTTTGGGAGAATGAGTGCAAAATCACCGACATATACTATGGCTCCCTGGGTCGGATAGACAGAGAAAAATTGAGCTAGTAACCACGATTGTGTTTTATAGCCAGGCAGGAATTTAAGGTATTTGTGCTTTGGTAACCTCAATTTGACGGAATCCGAGCACTGACTCACAACTTCAGATTTCAGTTTGCTTCTAACCCAGTCGGATTTTGCTTCAACTGTGACCCCTTTACATTTTTTAGTATGCTTTGTTACCCAATTACAATTTGTGCTACGTGTACCATTTACAATTTAGTATGCTTACTGTTTATCCCTCTACAATTTAGGATGCTTACTGTCTTACCCATTTCAATTTAGTCTGCTTACTGTTTGACTACCCCATTTACAATTTAAGTATGCTACTGTTTACCGCATTACATTTTAGTATGCTTACTGTTTACTATTTGCATACTAATCACGACAGATTCCATTGCGGTGTCGTGATGCAGCATTGGACTCAGGTGAAGGCCTAGTGCTCATTACGAGCATGCAGTGCAACGGATCAGAGTCCGCTCTACTCAACTGCCGCTCCATCAACTCCGAGTCCCTTCAGCTTCTTTTGCAGGTCACAGTCATCTGATGCCTCTGTCGTCTGTCACGGTAAGGAGTTGAAATTGATGCATAATGTAGGGATATATGCTGGAGAATCTGCATCCGTATTGTATAGTACTAGTTAAGACCGTGAGTTTACGGTATCTAAGCACACTTAGAAGCTGAAAGACCGTATGAGGTAACGCTCTTGAGAATAGTGTGAGATGTTATGTAAAGGCTGAGGATTTATTATTTCAATGTACGGCTCAAATTGACTCACAATTAGTAGACGAGTGAGATGTAGTACAGACAAAATACGACCTTCGTTATGTAAATCATGACCAATGTTCCTTTGGTGTTTTGATGACGCCAGTGCATTATTATGCACACCGCGTTTCAGACCGACCTCAGGGTATCGTAACTCGACTGAGGTTCGACTGGTGGAGGGCCACCTGATGAGGAGGTTGGAGATATGTCTGGACAACCACTGGGGACTCTCTGTGACAATGGCTGCAGGGACCTAACTGACGCCCGCAGGTCGCCTCTGCAGACAGCTTGGCTACCGGCCTGAAGGTGGTCACAAAACCTCCATATGTATATCGCCAAACATGTACTGCCGAACTTCAATATCAACTGACTATTTGTGTGCTGCTACTCCAGTCTACTCAAGCGGATTGTATTAACGTACATAGACTGGCAGTCACATAAGGAAACTGCTTCTCGTCAAACTCAGTCCATAATGTGCCCGTTGAATATCCCTTTGCCAGGGAAATATTGTAATATATGCCATCAAGAGACTAAGCAACTTTCAGCACTTGTGTTTACTGCTGTGAGTGGTGTCTGTCTGTGTCGTGTGTGTGTGCAGTGGTCGCAGAACGGCCCGTGCACGGAGATATGGGGAGGACTTTGGTCGGTGTTTTCATCTGGACACCTGAACGGTTCGGCTCCGAGGAGAGACTGTATGACTGTCAGCACTCGTCATTCACTGCCGTCACCGTGCTTCTCATCTCAGAGTCGTCGACAGTTGGCGTCGTCTGCCTGGACATACTGCAGCTTTTAAATGTGTGAATTCGTACCGTTTTGTGCCTCCGTAGCGATTACAACTAATCGTGTCATCTATTTATGGGTCCTATTGTGAGTCTAGGGCTTCCTGCAGCTGAGCGGCCCGTCTACTACAGTAGGAAAAGTGCTTATGCATTGGTAGCAGACAAGTGTCGTAGATTGGGATCCCACGGTCTTAAGTTCGCAGCTCTTCTTTCGTTATTGGCCAGTCCTTTTGCCGTACGTCTCTGGTAGATCATGTACACTGTTCTGAGATAGGCCTCTATAAGATCGTGATTTGGTGGTGTGTGACAGCTTGAATCATACCCCCTTACTCTATATACAGCCCTCCATTAGGTACATAATGGTATACGCAGAGTGTGCGCAGACCATGTGCCTCAGCGCAGGTAAGTACAGGCACTCCGAGGTACGCGGACGTTGATCGTGAGATGTCTCCTACGACCTCCGCGACGAAGAACATACCGCCACACACACGCCCCGCCATCCTCGCACGCATGCGAAGAAAGGCGTGACTAAACAAATAATATAACAGTGACCGAGCGCGTGCTGCAGAATTACGTGCCTCGTTCTAAGGCGCTCGTCAAATGTACCTCCCCCTATACAATGTGTGATCCATTGTGTACCATTAGACCTGAGACTGTCAGATGGAAGACACACTACTGGAGGGTAGGTGGAGATATGTATTGAAGAAAATGGGGTCATATTGATGACTTGTGGGAACGACCGCGATTCCACAGTCGCAAGCAGCCAACCGGGATTTTTCCGAATTGGAAGTTCTATTATACACAAAGCAAACATGGCTCTTCTTTTCTGAAAGTAAGCATGAAAGTTTGCATGTATTGTACTATCATAAGGGTATAGTCCCTTCAAGCTAATGTAGAGCCGTTTGTTTAGAGAGCGGGTGGCTTGTGCAAGACCGTATATAGTAGTTGACAGCAATCCATTTGTAGAGGCCAAGGGAACTAGCATTGTGCACTTGCAATGACACTATATTATCTATAAAGGACAGAGTGTTCAGAAAGATGCAAAACTATGGTACGAACTCGAATTGTGTTTATCTGGTCGACCACGGTGCGGATGCGGCTGGTTATCGAACCTCCCCGTGGGGTCCACAGCGCTGTCGAGAAAGACAGGGGCACCTCGCCGCCTGGACGCAACGCATGTGGGCAAGCAGCGACGGTACATAAAACCGCCGCCCGCAGTAGGAGACTGGCCGTCCAGGCACTCCCTATCTCGTTACCACCACACACTGTGGACATCACGAGGATGCGCCGGCATCTACTGTCGACGTGATGTACTGTCACCTTTACTTTGTTGAGTAGCACCATTCTTTTTCATTGTTCAGATAAGCATTACTACCACTTTTCAATGCTCCTAGGTGCAACCTAGCTGGTGTAGACCTATGTTGCTGTTATATGTGTGATCCAGTGCATATGTTTGCCATTTGAGTCCAGTTTGCCAACAATCGGTCTCTTTTTGTTCCAGTACGGCAACTCGCGCCCTTAATGTGCTGCAAGATTTAGGTTTAATTTCGCTCCCAATATAGTTTCCGATAGTCACAGGTTGAAACACTGAAACGCGTTTAACTCTATGACACCACCCTGTTTCGCCTCTGTTTCACAGCTCGTCCCTGCTATGACGCACCACTGAGAATCTCAGCGATGGATTCAAATCCAGCAACGGTCGTTTCTGAGATATGTGTGAACGAAGCTGGCCACAGTCTGTGGTACTGGATTCACTGATGACAGGCTGCTGCTGCGCTGTACTGGTCATGGACTCCCCTCTGATGTGTGGAGTCATATTCACCTGGTAGCTTAGCTTATGAATCTCATACGTTTTGCTTTGGATGTGATACTCGGAATATTCTAGAACACTCTTCATGTTGCATGCGCAATATATACTTAGGATATGGCTGACGTAAAAACTATGTACCTGGGTAAGATTAGACTGGCACATAATAGAGTTATATGGTCGTCACTGTGAGAGACACTGGTTATGTACCAGGACCACACACTATATATCTCGTATTACAGGAGCCTTCAGGTCAGCTGAGGGTCTCTTTGGCAGTCCTTCATCTGAGGGTCCCTTTGGCAGTCCTTCATCTGAGGGTCCTCTTATCTAGACGTCAGTCGACATACAGTGTCCACCTGCTCGTTCCACAAAACTGCACCTTCACCACAGCAACTCCTCCAGGCACATGTACCCACGAGAACGACGTCGGAGTGTTCTGTCCGGCGGCCGAGGGGACTCCAACTCTCTGTGCCACCGGAGACATTAGACTGGCCGGTGGCATCCAGCCACGTGAGGGACGAGTTGAGATATGTATCAACAACCAGTGGGGGACCATCTGTGACGACTCGTGGGACGAACGTGGTGTCAATCTAGTGTGCAGCGCTCTCTCTACAATGAACAAAGTGAGTTCGTAACCCCTTACTCAATCATCCCTGCCAGTGCTAACACGCTTATAGTAACTCATACTCAATACAACCAATTTCCTACATACATAAGCTATGCATTGAGTGATGATTATGCTTGAATGCTTAGAAAGCCACATTGTACTCCACCCATTGCTTGTTCCCTAATGTGTTATACATTATACTGTGTAAACTCTCAATGAGGAATACTGTTGGTTTCTTCAAGGATTGCTTGTCCAAAGTTTTGCAGAAAGCTCTCATTAAAACCGCGAACTCACCATCAAACTTTCCCCTAATCGGAATATCATCACCACTGCACTTTTAATTTTTACTATTGAGGCACAAGCACAAAGGCCCACGCAACCTTTGCACACTCACCAGCATAGCTCGATAGTTTACGGTTTGTCTTGTGTATTGTCTTTGCTAAAAATGGATGATGAAACACGACTATACAGTTGTTGGAGAGATGGTGGATCCAGAGGAGTTCAGTGGTGTAGAGGACCTCCCTATCCTGATGGACGACGTGAAGTGCAGAGGAATGGAGTCCAACCTTCTCTCATGTCCTCAACTGCAGCTGAATGCATCCCACGACTGCACGCACATGGAAGACGTCGCCATCTCCTGCACTGGTGAGCTGTCACTCGGTCAATCGGTCACCTACCTCTCTCCCTCACTCACCTCCTCATCTTCGCTATCCTTCTCTCCTTCCCTTATTGTGCACCTTTTCCCTTCTTCTTTCTCCCTCCCTCCCTCCCTCCCTCCCTCCTTCTCTTTTCTCCCTTGCCCTCTTTCCACTTCAACCCCCTCCTTTTCTCTCTTCTCCACTCACCTTCTCCCTTTCACTCCCACCTCTCATTATACCTACACAATCCTTGACCACATCTCTCTGTGTTCACGCAATACTCTCAGGGACACGGAGATGTCAAAACGGTGAAATAGCACTGGCTGGTGGACAGTACGTATCGGAAGGGACCATTCAGATATGTCTCGATGGTGTGTGGGGAACAGTGTGCGATGATCTGTGGGACCCAACTGATGCTGGGGTCGTCTGCAATATCCTTGGATATACCAATGGTCAGTCTTCCAACACTCGTATCTTGACTAAGGAGCTATACTGATAACACCACCAAAAACTATGTGTGTGTGTCCAGGATCAGCTATTGCCCTGCGTGGAGCCCACTTTGGACAGGGTACGGGACCAATTCACCTGGACAATGTCATCTGTACTGGCAGTGAGACCTCTCTACTGGACTGTCGCTCCTCTCCTCACAACTGTGGCCACTACGAGGATGCCGGAGTCATCTGCCCTGCTCCTCAAGGTCTTATACTGCAGTTTAAACTGTAGGTCTGATACGTAGTTGACTACTAACTAAAGACTGAATCTCCGATACGGTAGTTGACTACTAACTAAAGACTGAATCTCCGATACGGTAGTTGACTACTAACTAAAGACTGAATCTCCGATACGGTAGTTGACTACTAACTGAAAGACTGAATTTCTTCCCTGCCGTTCAGTTCAGTTCCTGCATGTGTAAAGTGCTTCCTGCAGTATTTATCTCTCTTTCTGGACCCACAGATGCTGATGCCAACTGTACAAATGGAGATATCCGTCTGGCAGACGGAGATAACGAGTACCAGGGTCGAGTTGAGGTGTGTCTCCATGGCAACTGGGGCACAGTGTGTGACGATGGATGGGACAATAGGGATGCTGGTGTAGTCTGCAATCAGCTGGGCTATACTGGTGGTATGTGGAAAAAGATAAATCAACAGTCCTTAAAGGGAATGTGGCAGTATAATAATATAAGGGCTAACTTTAGACTTTATTATTCTCGCACTGGGCCATTTCATATTTAGTAACATTCTCAATTTAGCCCTAATGTACAACTTCCACATTCTCTTGAATACCACTACAGTTGGGGTGTGGAACAGTAGCATTCACTGCATTGAGATAACATTTTGTCATTGCCTTGAAAGTAAACACCGTTTTGTCTGGCAGGCTTTCCGTCTGCTGTGTCTAATGCTGGATTTGGTCGCGGGAGTGGACTCATCTTCCTGGACAATGTGGATTGTGATGGAACAGAACCAAATCTCCTCCAGTGTAGAGGGAATGAACCTGGGAACCACAACTGTGGACCTTCTGAGGATGCCGGTGTTTTCTGCCCTGGTGAGTGGGGGGGGGTGAGAAACAGTGAGCTCAAAGTGGGAGAGAGAGAGAGAGAGAGGGGAGAAGGAAGGGAGAGCAAAGGAGGCGGGGAAAGGAGAAGGAGAAAGAAACTTGGGTCGAGTAAGGGACTATTGAAGGGGCGAGTAAGTGGTGGAGGAGAAGAGTAAGTACGGTGCATGAAGTACCACTGCACACTATTTCGTTGTGACTCGCTGGTGCTAAAATAACTCTGAATGTGAGATGTTTTTACCCTCTCACTCAGACCCCACGGCCAACTGTAGTAACGGAGACGTGAGACTGGCAGGAGGTACCACTGAGTATGAGGGGAGAGTGGAAGTGTGTATCGGAGGTGCCTGGGGTACTGTGTGTGGCGACTCTCTCTGGGACGACAGAGAAGCCTCCGTGGTCTGCAGACAACTGGGGCTCCCCAATAAGTGTGAGTATATGAAACACGTAGTAAAACTGGTTGGATAAATAGCTTAATGGGGCTCCTCAACCAATGTATGCTTCTGTGTGCAACTTGTGACCTTCTACCATCCATGGAGTCTCCTGGTCACCATAGAGGCCTATTACCCTCCCAGTGCTGTTTTTTGGGAGAATGGAGTGCAAAATCACCGACATATATGGGCCTGTGGTCGGATAGACAGAGAAAAATTGAGCTAGTAACCACGATTTGTTTTATCGCAGGAATTTTAAAGGTATTTGTGCTTTTGTAACCTCAAATTTGACGGAATCGACACTGACTCCAACTTCAGATTTTCAGTTGCTTAACCCAGTGGATTTTGCTTCAACTGTTGACCCCTTTACATTTTAGTATGCTTACTGTTTACCCATTTACAATTTAGTATGCTTACTGTTTACCCATTTACAATTTTAGTATGCTTACTGTTTACCCATTTACAATTTAGTATGCTTACTGTTTACCTATTTGCATACTAATCTCGACAGATTCCATTGCGGTTGGTGATGCAGCATTTGGACCAGGTGAAGGCCTAGTGCTCATACGGAGCATGCAGTGCAATGGATCAGAGTCCGCTCTACTCAACTGCCGCTACTCAACTCCGAGTCCCTTCAGCTTCTTTTGCAGGTCACATTCATCTGATGCCTCTGTCGTCTGTCACGGTAAGGATTGAATTGATGGCATAATGTATGGGTATAATGCTGGAGAATCTGCATCCGTATTGTATAGTACTAGTTAAGACAGTGAGTTTACGGTATCTAAAGCACACATTAGAAGCTGAAAGACCGTTATGATGTAACGCTCTTGAGAATAGTGGGGATGTTATGTAAAAGGCTGAGGTTTATTATTTCAATTGTACGAGCTCAAATTGACTCACAATTAGTAGACTAAGTGAGATGTAGTACGAGAAAATACGATTGCTTATGTAAATCTTGACCAATGTTACTTTGGTGATGAAGCCAGTGCATTATGCACATCCGCGTTTTCAGACCCGACCTTCAGGTGTAACTCGACTGAGGTTCGTCTGGGTGGAGGGGCCACCCCTAATGAAGGGAGGGTGGAGATATGTCTGGACAACCACTGGGGGACTCTCTGTGACAATGGCTGGGACTTACCTGACGCCCAGGTCGTCTGCAGACAGCTTGGCTACAGGCCTGAAGGTGGGTCACAAAACCTTCCATATGTATATGCCAAACATGACTGCCGCTTCAATATAAACCACTATTTTGTGTGCTGCTACTCCAGTTTTCTACTCTAGCTGATTGTAATTAACGTACATAGCTGTAGCAGTTACATAAGGAACTGGCTTCTGTCAAACTCAGTCATATAGTGCCCGTTGAATATCACTTTTGCCGTAAATTTGTAATATATGCCCTCAAGAGACTAAAGAACTTTACAGCACTTGTGTTTACTGTGTGTCTGTGTCTGTGTCTTGTGTGTGTCCAGGTGCCATAACGGCCCGTGCCAGGAGATATGGGGAGGGATTTGGTCGAGTTCATCTGGACAACCTGAACTGTTCTGGCTCCGAGGAGAGACTGTATGACTGTCAGCACTCTTCATTCACTGAAGTCACCTGCTTCTCCTTCGAGTCTGACGTTGGCGTCGTCTGCCCTGGTACATACTGCAGCCTTTAAATTGTTGAATTCGTACCTTTTTGTGCCTCCGTAGTCCAGATTAATACCTCTATTTAGTGTCCTATTGTGAGTCTTGGGCCCTGCCAGCTGAGCTGCCCTGCTAACTAAGTAGGAAAAGTGCTATGCATTGGTAGCAGATTGTCGTAGATTTGGATCCCACGTGTCTTAAGTTCGCAGCTCTTTCGTTATTAGCCTCCTTTTGCCGTACGTCTCTTGTAGATCATGGTACTGTTCTGAAATAGGCCTCTAAGATCGGTGATTTGGTGGTGTGACAGCTTGAAATCATACCCACTTTACTTTATACAGCCCTAGGTACCATATTGGGTATACGCAGAGTGCGCAGACATGTGCCTCACGCAGTAAAGTAAGGCTCCGAGTACGCTGACGTTGATCGTGAAGTCTCACCTCCGACATCCGCGACGAAGAACATACCGCACACACGCCCCCGCCATTCTCGCACGCATGCGAAGAAGAGCGTGACGAACAAATATATACAGTGACCGAGCGCGTGCTGCAGAATTAGGTGCCTCGTGCTAAGGCGTTCGGCAAATGTACCTCCCTCCTCTACAGTGGGTGATCCAGTGTGTACCCATGGAGACCTGAGACTGCAGGATGGAGACACACTACTGGAGGGTAGAGTGGAGATATGTATTGGAGGAACATGGGGATCAGTATGTGATGACTTGTGGGACGACCGCGATGCCGCAGTCGCATGCAGTCAACTGGGATTTTCTCGAATTGGTAAAGTTTCTATTATACACAAAGCAAACATGGCTCTTCTTTTCTGAAAGTAAGCATGAAAGTTTGCATGTATTGTACTATCATAAGGGTATATACCTTCAAGCTTATGGTAGAGACGTTTGTTTAGCGGGTGGCTGTGCAAAGACGTATAATAGTAGTTGACAGCAAGTCCATTTGTAGAAGCCCAAGGGAACTAGCATTGCACTTGCAATGACACTATATTATATATAAAGGACCAGAGGGTTTCAGAAAATATGCAAAACTTATGGTACGAACTCGAATTTGTTTATCTGTCGACCAACAGGTGCGGATGCGGCTGGTTATCGAACCTTCCCAGTGGCCACAGCGGATGTCCCCATCCTCCTGGACAACCTCCAGTGTGTGGGAACAGAGAGCAGTCTCCTGGACTGTCGGGCCACTCCTATCGGTACCCACAACTGTGGACATCACGAGGATGCCGGCATCTACTGTCGACGTGAGTACTGTCACCTTTACTTTGTTGAGTGGCACCATTCTTTTCATTGTTCAGATAAGCATTACTACCACTTTTCAAATGCTCCTAGGGTGCAACCTGGTGTAGACCTTTGTTGCTGTTATTGTGATCCCAGTGCTATGGTTGCCATTTGAGTCCAGTTGCAAACAATCGGGCTCTTTTTTGTTCCAGTTACTGGCAACTCCTGCCCTTAAATGTGCTGCAAGATTTAGGTTTAATTTCGCCCCAATTTATGTTTCCGATAGTCAACCAGGTTTGACACTCCACCCTCTGTTTCCACAGCTCGTCCCTGCATTGACGGAACACTGAGACTCAACGATGGATTCAATCCCAGCAACGGTCGTCTGGAGATATGTGTGAACGAAGTCTGGGCCACAGTCTGTGGTACTGGATTCACTGATGAAATGGCTGCTGCTGCCTGTACTGGCATGGGACTCCCCTCTGATGGTGAGCATATTCACCTGGTAGATAGCTTATGGAATCTCATACGTTTTGCTTTGGATTGTGATACTCGGAATATTCTAGAACACTCTTTGTGTTTGAATGCGCAATACTTAGGATATGGGCGACGTAAAAACTATGTACCTGGGTAAGATTAGACTGGCGCATAATAGAGGCAAGTTATATGATGGTCACTGTGAGAGACACTGGTTTATGTACCAGGACCACACACTATATATCTCGTATTACAGGAGCCTTCAGGTCAGCTGAGGGTCTCTTTGGCAGTCCTTCATCTGAGGGTCCTTTCTACGTCGTCGACATACAGTGTCCACCTGCTCGTCCCACAAACTGCACCTTCACCACAGCAACTCCTCCAGGCACATGTACCCACGAGAACGACGTCGGAGTGTTCTGTCCGGTGGCCGAGGGGACTCCAACTCTCTGTACCACCGGAGACATTAGACTGGCCGGTACCTTCCGTCCTCAGCAGGGACGAGTTGAGATATGTATCAACAACCAGTGGGGGACCATCTGTGACGACTCGTGGAACCAACACTCAGTCAACTTTGTGTGCACTTCTCTCTACGACCAATCTAGTGAGTCGTAGGCACTATGTCTTATAACTGTTAGGAAGTGTAAATCCGCCTATTGAGATGACTAGGTAGGCTCGCTTCGCTCACCAGTGATATAATTATACGTAGTTTTTTGGGCACAAGGTTAACCAGAACTGCACTATACCTGCAGTTGTTGGAGAGATGGTGGATCCAGAGGAGTTCAGTGGTGGAGAGGACCTCCCTATCCTGATGGACGACGTGAAGTGCAGAGGAACAGAGTCCAACCTTCTCTCATGTCCTCAACTGCAGCTGAATGCATCCCACGACTGCACCCACATGGAAGACGTCGCCATCTCCTGCAATGGTGAGGTCTTTCTTCTACTACCTTCATCATGTACGGCAGGAAACATTCGAGGGTTTTAGGTAGCATATTTCATGACTCTTACATGGAACCTCTTCGAGGGAGAGAAAAATTGGCTAACGCAGATTGTCCAATGCACAGTAGAAAATGATTCCCTCCTTCCCTCCTGCCCCCTTTCTCCCCTTCTTCATCTCTCCTCTTCCTCTCTCTTCTCTGCCTCCCTTCCATCTTTTCTCTCTCCCTGCTCCTCCCTTCTCTGGCTCATGCGTCTCTCTCAGGTACTCGGAGGTGTCGAGATGGTGAAATAATGCTGGCTGGTGGGCAGTATGAATCAGAAGGGACCATTCAGATATGTATAGACGATGTGTGGGGAACAGTGTGCGATGATCTGTGGGACCAAACCGACGCTGGGGTCGTCTGCAACGTTCTTGGATATACCAATGGTCAGTTTGATATCTCAACGAAGTATACCAGTCATGCCTAGACTGCAGAGTGTCGTGGGTTCGAATCCTACCTAGGGCAGCTGTTCTTTTTTCCTGAGAGCTGTCCTAGGTTTGTTTGTTGTGCCTTTGCCATTCAACCTTGTAGTTTTCACATGCAGTAATAAGTTGTTGAAAGGCAGCATACATGGTATGAATAATGTTGAGTAAGACGGAAGTCGGATATTCATAGATATTAAGGGTCGATGCATGCAAGAAAGCCTTCTATTTCATCGATTACTCATACACTGTTAAGACTGAAACTTCGTATCTTATACCACAAGTCTAATGCTGTGAATGTGTGTCTAGGATCAGCTATTGCCCTGCGTGGAGCCCACTTTGGAGAGGGTACAGGACCAATTCACCTGGACAATGTCATCTGTACTGGCAGTGAGAACTCTCTACTGGACTGTCGCTACTCTCCTCACAACTGTGGCCACTACGAGGATGCCGGAGTCATCTGCCCTGCTCCTCAAGGTCTTATACTGTAATTGATTACTGTTAAGACTGAAGGTCGTAGTTGATCCAAACTAAAAGTGGTTATAGTACAACATGCGGTCTGGCTAGTTGCTTATTAATTTCAACCAACTTACTCTTTGCACATTGCTCGTGCTTATCTGGCTAACGACATTATGTGTACCATTCATGCATGTTCAGAGTTTTTATATTTTTCTATTAATTTGGGAGGTGGGGGGCGGGGTTCTTTCCTCCTCTTAGCTAGTATGCTATAAACATGTTTTTTCATGTACACAAAGCTACGTCTCCTCTTCATCCCACAGATGCTGATACCAACTGTACAAATGGAGAAGTTCGTCTGGCAGACGGAGATAACGAGTACCAGGGTCGAGTGGAGGTGTGTCTCCATGGCAACTGGGGCACAGTGTGTGACGACAGATGGGACAATAGGGATGCTCGTGTCGTCTGCAATCAGCTGGGCTATACTGGTGGTGAGTATATTATGCAAAATGTAAGTAACCCATACTTGACCCCCTGGCATATACTCTCATTAACCCTCGGCGCACATGTGCAGCGAGGGTTACAGTAGTTGGTTTGTCTGTGTGTCTGTCTGTGTGTGTGTGGTGTGTCGACACTTATTCTGGCACTACAGGCTACGAGGCGGCCCATTAGCGATACCAGCGGCTTCAGAACTACGCGAGCCTGAAAAGTAAAAGGGTGATTTTCCTGAAACGACTGCGTTCGAGAGATATGCCGTGAAAACAAGCAATAAAGCCAATATGCATAATCGTACTAGGCTTACCGCGACCTGATCCGCTCGCTCTGTGTACCTTGGAGGCTCAGGAAGTAACAACGAATGGCATGTATCGACTCCCGCATGCTATCTACCACCGTAGCTAGCCCTTGTGAGATTCTCTGCGAGCTAGTACTAGGGGGAGACCACGAGTAAACGCACACAAATAGCCCCCCGCCCATCAAGTAGCAGTATCGCGCATGCGCAGTTCGCCGAGGGTTTGCACTTTAGTGCTTTTCATTTATCATTGGTAAACATATTGGGACTGCTTGCAATTATGTTTCGCGTCAGTGATATATAGTACTTTGTGTTGTTTTGTAGGCTTTAAACTTGTGGTTTTAGTTTTGTATTCGAGTGATAAGCATAGTTTTGTGGGCTTTAGTGATCTATATATTATAGTGTTTGTTGTTTTTCAGGCGTCCCCTTCAGTGTAACCAGAGCTGGATTTGGTCGCGGGAGTGGACTCATCTTCCTGGACAATGTGGATTGTGACGGAACAGAACCAAATCTCCTCCAGTGTAGAGGGAATGAACCTGGGAACCACAACTGTGGACCTTCTGAGGATGCCGGTGTTTACTGCCCTGGTGAGTGCAGAACCTTGGTGATTCATGTTCAAAATTCGCCAAAATCTCACATGCATATGACAACGACGTTGTAGAAAGGCAAATGGAAAGCGAACAAGTCGACTACACCCAGGACAGCTCTTTAGAAGAGCTGCCCTGGGTGGGATTCGAAC